GCACTCATGCACATCTACTGTTTGCCCATCAGGGCAGGGCTAGGTCTCATTCATCGTTCTCTTTCTGTTTAGTGTCCCCAACATCATACTTGCTTTTAAATAGAGTACCATATCTACCCTCCTCACTGGATTTTCCTTCTCAGGATAGAGTACATCTCCTTTCTTTTGCCTCTTCCTCACCTGGCCTGCCTAGAAAGCTTAGCCTCAGCACTGGAAAGATTCAGAATAAAAAGAAGGGCTGAACTTGGACCCGACAGGCCAAAGTTTCAATTTAACCCTGCCACTGACTAACCATATGGCTTCAGGCAAATGACTTAATTTATCTAAACTGTAATCTTGTTATCCACAAAACAGAAGATATTTACCACACAGGGTTATGGGTGAGAATTGAATGAGATAATGTGAGTTTAGCATAGCCCTGAATAAATAAGAATTTATTACAGTATCTTTAATTAACTAAAGTAATAAAAATGAAAACTAATGTTAGCATAGTATGTTGCAGTTTCCAAGTGCTTGCAAGTACACTATCTAATCTGATCCTTATAAAAACGTGTTAGATGAGGATGCTCTCCACCTGTAGCTACTGGGCAACTGAGTCTGAGTGAGTTTCAGAGCCTTACTCTTTCAGACTGTTCTGTACTTCCTAGGTGCCTCTCTACCATGTTTGTGTGTTGCTGACCCTTCTGTTAGGTGCCTCTGTTACGGGTTCAATTGTGTTCCTCCCAAATCCGTATATTTGAACCCTGTAGTACCTCAGAATATAACCCTATTTGGAAAAAGTATCACTGCAAATCATAATTAAGTTAAGATAGAGGGCATACTAGGTAGGTGGGCCCCTAATCAATGCAACTGTATCTTTATAAAAATGGAAAATTTAGAATGTAGACATAACACAGGTAGATTGCTATAGCTATAACACAGGTTATAGCTGTAACACAGGTTATATGGAATGAAGCAGAGGGTATATATAATGCTTACAAGCCAAGAGAATGTCAAAGATTGCCCACAAAGCACTAGAAAAGAGGAAGTGGACAGTTCTATACTCCCTCACAGCTAGAGAACCAATTCCACTGCCACCTTGACCTCAGAATCTCTTTGCTTCTACAACATGGGAACTGATAACTTTCTGCTGTTTAACCACTCCATTTGAGTGCTTTGTGACAGCAGTCCTGGCAAGCAATATAGTCTCCTTAGGCAGGCTGTCAATGCAGTTTGAGCGCTTTACACTTCAGTCAAGGATTGCTTTGTCCTTTGGGAGCCTCATCTGCTTGTGCAACTCCTGGACACCACTGGATTTTACTAATCCAGTATCAAGATTCATTTGATATCTTAGTTTAGGATGTATGCACTCCCCTGTACATGGAGTATGGTCAGAGAAGTTTAGTTCTCATGCAAGCTTTGTTTTTGCATTTTCCTTACCTGGGCTCAGAGAGCAGTTTCTCTTCTATCTCTTGGAGGCTGGCGGAGTTCATCCAGTCTCCCCCTTACGAAGAAGGGGGCCCCGTTTTTAAATTTCCTAATCCGGCTGTTGTGCAGATCTGAGATTTGGTTCCCTAAGACCATATCCTGCCGTCCCCATTTTGCATGGAAACCCCAGCTATTAGGACTTACATCGGGAACCAGTCTCCACCCTGCCAGTCACAGGATCAACTCATGAACTTGTCTTCTAGCCTGGAGTCATGTTATAGTTCATCACCTGGGAGTTTGGTTTTCTTCTTTAGATCTTGACTAAAAACCGTCTTATTTATTTATGCAGTATGTCTTTTCTGCAGGGGGTGGGAGGTAGGGGACTAAATCAGCCAGCCATGTTGCCGAAAATGGAAGTCCTTGGAGTAGGTATTACAAAAAGATCTGTTTCTAGAGAAAATGCAGGCGTTTGAGTGGGACAGCTCTCATATCTACGTGGGTTTTTGCTTTCTTCTTGAGCATGGTCCAGTCAAGCCATTGTGACATGGTGGGAGGCGTGTTCCTGTGGAAAGAGCTGCTCACGGAGGCTAAGTTTCCTCCGGAGGTCCTTAGTGTGACTTTCTTTCCTCCTGTCCCATTCTCATCAGAACAGCCTAACACTCCCAGGACAAATCGGAGAACATTGCTGGACTGGAATGGACTCCTGGACCACCTGGAAAGGATTTCCATTCTCCTCTCCATGAGAAGGAGAGACAAGAGAACCAGGTAAGAAAATCCAAACTACTTAAGTCAAGGGTTAAACCACGAATGTCCGCTAAACCCTTTTCAGTGTAAAAGGTTTAGCCCGCTAAACCAACACAGATCAAAAGTAAGATTACCTGCCCACTAGGAAGGAAGGAAGGAAGGAAGGAAGGAAGGAAGGAAGGAAGGAAGGAGAAAGAAAAAAAGGAAAAAAGAAAGAAAGAAAATGTGGTACATATCCACGATGGAGTACTATTCAGCCACCAAAAAAGAATGAGATTCTGTCATTTGCAACAACATGGATGGAACTGGAGGTCATTATGTTTAGTGAAATAAGCCAGGCACAGAAAGACAAACTTCGCATGCTGTCACTTATTTGCAAGATGAAAAACTCAAAACAACGAATACATGGAGATAGAGAGTGGAAGGATGGTTATCAGAGGCTGGGAAGGGCAGTGGCAGGTGGGAGGGAGGTGGGGATGGTTAATGAATACGAAAACCAGAAAGAATGAATAAGACTGGGCACAATGGCTCATGCCTGTAATCCCAGCACTTTGGGAGGCCCAGGCAGGGGGATGACTTGAGTACAGGGGTTCGAGTCCATCGTGGGCAACATGGCGAGACCCCATCTCTACAAAAAAAATAAAAATAAAAATAAATAGATAAAAGAATGAGTAACATCTAGTATTTGATAGCACGACAGGGTGACTATAGTCAAAATAATTTAACTGTACATTTTTAAATAACTAAAAGAGTATAATTGAATTGTTTGTAACACAAAAGATAAATGTTTGAGGGGATGGATGTCCCATTTTCCATGATTTGATTGTTGTGCACTGCATGCCTGTATCACAACATCTCATGTACCCCACAAAATACACACCTACTACGTACCCACAAAATTTTTTTAATTTTTTAAAAGAGTGTCTCACCCTGCCTAATTTGCACAATATGGTTTATCACATGGTTCACACTAACATGTCGCTTTGCTAATTTTGTTCTGTACCCTTTTACTGTAATAAATCATAGCCATATGTGTGACTATATACTGAGTCCTGGGAGTCCTCTAGCAAATCACTGAATGTCGCCAGAAGGATAGAATGGGTTTGGGGAACCTCCCAAACATAGAGTGTATTAAGAATCTGATGTTTGGCTGGGCATGGTGGCTCACGCCTGTAATCCCAGCACTTTAGGAGTCCAAGGCGGGTGGATCATGAGATCAAGAGATCATGGACCATCCTGACCAACATGGTGAAACCCCATCTCTACTAAAAATATAAAAATTAGCTGGGCGTGGTGGTACGTGCCTGTAATCCCAGCTATTCGGGAGGCTGAGGCAGGAAAATCATTTGAACCAGGGAGTAAGAGGTTGCAGTGAGCTGAGATCGTGCCACTATATTCCAGCCTCAACAGAGTGAGACTCCACCTCAAAAAAAAAAAAAAAAAAAAAAGAATCTGAGGTTTAATTCAAGGAGCAGTGGAAGCCATTCATTCCAAATTGTCAGGATCTGTGCAGGTATGTCCCTCCCTGTCCACTCTGAGCTTAGGGTCAATGCCTAGAAATGTATGTGATTGTTAATAGATTTGCTACATGCCAGGCACTACTCTGAGCACTTTATTTCTTCCTTTCTAATCTGTGTGCCTTTTATTTCTTTTTCGTGCTTTATTGCATTGGCTAGGGCCTCCGGTACAGCACTGAATAGGCATGGTGACAGCACACAGACATCCCTTCCTTGTTCCTGATCTTAGGAGAAAAACATTCCACTTCCTACTCCCACCATGAAGGATGAGGTTTGCTGTAGTTTTGGGTGTTTTCTTTCTTTCTTTTTTTTTTTTTGTTTGCTTGAGACAGTCTTGCTCTGTTGCCCAGGCTGGAGTGCAGTGGCACAATTTTGACTGACTACAACCTCCACCTCTTGGGTTCGAGCAATCCTCCTGCCTCAGTCACCGGAGTATCTGGGACTACAGCATGCACCACCGCACCCAGCTAATTTTTGTAGTTTTAGTAGAGACAGGGTTTCACCATGTTAGCCAGGATGGACTCGATCTCCTGACCTCGTGATCCTCCCACCTCGGCCTCCCAAAGTGCTGGGATTACAGGCTTGAGCCACTGCGCCAGCTGAGAGTTTTCTTTTTTAAGATCATGAATGGATGTTGAATTTTATCAAATGCTTCGTCTGCATTTATTGAGGTGATAATATCATTTTTCTCAAATAACTATACATTTATTGAAGACTCCCAACAGTCTTATGAGGTAGATACTGGGTTCACACCCATTTTTTTTTTTTAAACTGAAGGCATTAAGAGAGACCCATTTTTGTAGATCAAAAATCTGAAGCACAGTGAGATTCAGAAACCTGCCCTGGCCAGGTACAGCGGCTTATACTTGTAATCCCAGCACTTTGGGAGGCCAAGGAGGGTGGATCACTTGAGCAAAGGAGTTTGAGACCAACCTGGGCAATGTGACAAGATCCTGTCTTTACAAAAAGTACAAAAAATTAGCCGCGCATGGCAGCACATGCCTGTAGTCCCAGCTACTTGGGAGGCTGAGGTGGGAGGACTGCCTGAGCCCAAGAGGTTGAGACTGCAGTGAGCCTTGATTGCACCACTGCACTCCAGCCTGGGCAACAGAGCAAGACTCTGTCTTAAAAGAAACAAAGCCAAAAACAAACCTGTTCAAGGCTCCAGAGCTAGTAATCATAGACCCAGGATTCGAACCCAGGCAGGCTGGATTTAGTGTCCACACACTTCACCACCAAGCTCACTACTCCGTAAGAGCAAGTCCTCATGCCCAGTCACAGAAAGTTCTGGAAATGTTTCCTAAGACTCCAACGGGCCCCAGCCTGACTCACCAAAATACTGCAGAAGGTTGATGTCGGTGACTTTCCCCGTCTCCCCTAACTGCACCAGGATCTTGGTGGCATCACAGTTAATCTTCTTGAACAGTTTCTCCACTGAGTTCTTGAGTAGATCCAAGGTCTTGCTGACCTCCCTGTACTTGCTCTCATACATATCTGCCTCCTCCGTGGTCTTCCTCAGTTTATCCTGGTGGCAGACCCCAATTCCCACCTGCTCAGGAAGACTTTCGGTGGGCAGGGTGTTTGGGACCCTCCGGGGTCAGGGTCTCCAAACTGCAGGTTTTCAAACCTCTGAGGGCACATGAGATCAATTAAATGGGTTTCCATCGAATTTTGAAGAAACAAAATAAAATAGGATAGCAAAGAAAGGAAGAGAAAATACTAGTGTACATTGAGGGTCATAAGGGTAAATATTGTTCAACGTAAGTTTTGCTTCACTTACGTGTGTGTGTGTGTGTGTCTACATGTCTACGGGATTACGAATTTTTTTTTTTTTTTTTTTTTTGAGACAGAGTCTCACTCTTTTACCCAGGCCAGAGTGTAGAGGCATTATCTCAGCTCACTGCAACCTCTGCCTCCCAGGTTCAAGCAATTCTTATGCTTCAGCCTCCCAAGTAGCTAGGATTACAAGCAGGTGCCACCACGCTAACTTTTTTACTTTTTTTTTTTTTTTTTTTTTAGTAGAGACACAGGCTCGTCTCAAATTGCTGACCTCAAGTGATCTACCCATGTTGGCCTCCCAAAGTGCTGATATTACAGGCATGAGCCACCATGCCCAGCCTACAATATTTTTTAAAAGCTGTTGACTCTCTCTCTTTTTTTTTTTTTTTTTTTTTTGAGACGAGGTGTTGCTCTGTCACCTAGGCTCCAGGCTGGAGTACAGTGCCCCAATCTCAGCTCACTGCAGCCTCAGCTTCCTGGGCTCAAGCAATCCTCCCACCTTAGCCTCCAGAGTAGCTGGGACTACAGGCATACGCCGCCATGCCCAGCTAATTTTTGTATTTTTTTAGAGATAGGGTTTTGCCATGTTGCCCAGGCTGGTCTCAAAGTCTCGAACTCCTGGATTCCAGCAATCCTCCCACTTTGGCCTCCCAATGTGCTGGGATTACAGGCATGAGCCTCCTTGCCCAGCCAGTTCACTCATTTTTTAAAAAATGGTGGTCCACCTGAGGCCAGAAGTTCAAGACCATCCTGGCCAACATAGCAGAACTCTGTCTCTACTAAAAATACAAAACTTAGCTGGGCATGGTGGCATGTGCCTGTAATTCCAGCTACTGCAGAGAAGGCAGAAGAATCGCTTGAATCCAGGAGACGGAAGTTGCAAGTAAGCCGAGATCATGCCACTGCACTCCAGTCTGGGTGACAGAGCGAGACTCTATCTCAAAAAAAAAGGTAGTCCACAGGAAGAAATACATTGTAGCCAACACATACAAACATACATATGTATGTTGTATATGTAGATTTATCCATATTATCTAATCAAATGAATATAAAAGTTTCACAAATCAATTTTTTTAAAAAATACAGTTGGGGTCTTGCTCTGTCACCCAGGCTGGAGTGCAGTGGTGTGATCACAGCTCACTGCAGCCTTGAACTCCTGGACTCAGGCGATCCTCCTGCCTCAGCCTCTTGAGCAGATGGGACTACAAGCATGCAATACCACACCCAGTTAAGTTTTGGGGTTTTTTTTTTTTTTAATTTTGTAGAGATGGGATTTTGATGGGATCCAGACTGGTCTTGAATCTCCTGAGCTCAAGCAATCCTCCCACCTCAGTCTCCCAAAGTGCTGGGATTACAGGTGTGAGCCACCATGCCAGTTCAAATCAATATTCTTTTTATTTTTTAATAAAATTAGAGACAAGATCTCACCATGTTGCCCAAGCTGGTCTCAAACTCCTGGGCTCAAATGATCCTCCTGCCTCAGCCTCCCAAAGTTCTAGGATTAACAGATGTGAACCACCGCACCCAGCCTCAAATCAATATTTTTATTATGTGTTCTAATATTTTCTCTTCTGTTCTATCTCACTATTTTAAAATGTTGGTTACCATCCAATAAACCGATTTTACCATTCACAGTTTAAAACACATTGCTCTAGCCCAGTGGTTCTTTAACTGTGGTCCCAGGACAAGCAGCATCAGCTTCACCTGGGAACTTATTAGACATGCATATTCTTGGGCCCCACCTCAGTCTTAATCAAAGGCCCTGGGGGTGGACCAGGCTACCTGGGTTTTAGCAAGCCTCCCGGTGATCCTGGTGCACAGTCAAGTCTGAGAGCCTCTGCCAGCCCGTTGGATCTCAACCTTGGCTTCACACTGGTATCACCTGGGAACTTTAAAACTGCTTGCTGCCCAACCCCACCCTCAGCGATTCAGTCTTAATTGGCCTGAGGTGCAGCCTGGGCATCTGGGAGTTCTCATTAAAGCCTCCCAGGTGATTGTGACGTGCAGTTGAACTGAGGATCACTGTTCTAGGGTATTTCCTTCACTGATTCCTGCCTTTCCCTCAGAGATCTCAGCTTGCAAAGGTGAACTGGACCCTGGATGAACCGGCTCCATTCCCGCAGGTGAACTCTGCACGCACCATCCCGGATAATGATCCCACAGGGTCGGCCCTATTCACACCCCCATTTTGCAGGTGAGAAAACTGAGGCTCCAAGGCACACAGTCAGGAGAAGGAAGCCAGGAATTGAACTCGGCAGCACATCAGATGGCTTCCTCCATCCAGCTACTAGAATGTTTAGTTCCCAGGGCTGCAAATTTCCCATATGACAAGAAGAGTGGCCCTCTCTAAAGGTGCATTAGGCCAGGCATGGTGGCTCATGCCTGTAATCCCAGCACACTGGGAGGCCGAGGTGGGAAAGTCACCTGGCCTGGGAGGTCGAGGCTGCGGTGAGCTGTGATCGCACCACTGCACTCCAGCCTGGGCGACAGACCAAGACCCTGTCTCAAAAAATAAATTATAATAAAAGTGCATTTAAAAAATCACGTTTTTAAAAAAATCACAGGATTCATTTTTTAAAAGTCAATGTTAAGCTTGATGTGCTGGTGATAATATGTGTCTAGCTCCTAAAATATTCCAGGTACCTTACACACATCATCTGAACTCAGCCTCATAATCAGCCTAGTTTTCAGATGAGGAATGTTGAGGTCAGAGAAGAAAAGTGAACTCATGTTTAGCTCCCCTGAACCAAGCTCATCCAAAGGCTTGACCTTGAGCTCAACTCTACTTGGGCAATGATTTAGTAACAAAGTAAGGGTGACTTACCAGTTTTTCTGGCTCACATAACAACAATAATAATAGCTACAATGTACAACTGTCTGCATTGCAGTGTGTCAAATGTACACATGTGTGATGTTATTCAACCTTCACAGCCCTAAGAAGTAGGTATGATTATTATCCCCATTTTACAGATGAGGAAACTGAGGTTCAGAGAGATTGAGTCACTACCCCAAAGTCACACAGCTAGGAAGTGACTTTTCTGCAAGTCACAGCCAGGTTCCCAGAGCTTGGTTGCTTAATTACTATGCAAAACCCTCCCATGATGGATGTGGTCCCACCATTTCTCCCAAAGGGGAAGGAGAAGATGAAATAAAGGGTTTCAAGAATAGAGCAGGTGGAAGTGATCTTTAGCAGGGGGTAGGAAACATCTGTGAGTCCGTTGCTATCAAGACTAATTCCGGCCAGGCACAGTGGCTCACGCCTATAATCCCAGCACTTTGGGAGGCCAAAGCAGGCGGATCACCTAAGGTCAGGAGCTGGAGACTAGCCTTGCCAACATGGTAAAAACCCGTCTCTACTAAAAATACAAAAAATTAACCGGGTATGGTAGCATGTACCTGTAATCCCAGCTACTCGGGAGGCTGAGGCAGGAGAATCGCATGAACCTGGGAGGTGGAGGTTGCAGTGAGCCGAGATCATGCTACTGCACTCCAGTCTGGGCGACAGAGTGAGACCTCATCTCAAAATAGGTAGGTAGGTTGGTAGGTAGGTAGATAGATGAGATAGATAGATAGATAGATAGATAGATAGATAGATAGATAGATAGATAGA